GGGGGGGGGGGGGGGGAAGATAGCGAATTTTGATTGAAAAATTAGAGGGGAAGGAGGGGTGTCATACATCGAGAATTCAATACAGCTTCATTTCACACACTTTTGTAGACATTTTTCAGACACTAAAAAACATCTGAATAAAAAAAAAATTTGTTCGAATTTCAAACTTGAATTAAGATATTTAGGTACCTATTCGTCTGAAATTCAGAGAAATTTTCATTTTATTCAGACATTCTTTACTGTCTGAAAAATGTCTACAAAAGGTGCGTGAAATTCAAAGATTCGTTTTTGCTGTGCACTCGTATTAAAATTCCCCCTTTTTCACACTTGTAACACAATATACTATTTTTAACAACAGATGATGCAATGAATCTTGTTCCCAACGACATCTTGACCGATTTCAATCATGATTGAACTAGGTCAAGGGGTCGTTAGGAACAATATTTTAAATCACAATTGGATTCATTTAAACCATTATTTCTCCAGTTATCCTCGAAAAACGATCGGTCACATACACACATACACACACTCCTCAGGCCAAAGTTAGTTATTCTGACCCAAAAAACTTTTAATTCCAGATTTGACGAATACAATGCATCTACTCGGAACCAAGAAATCAAAAATTCATAAATACTTCGAATTTTAACGAGCAGTTTAACTTCATTAAACCTTCCAATTGAAAATTTAAAAGCGTGTAGTCACCCAGTTTCGTATGATCTGGATTCCAAATAACGTTGAACGCATGAGTTCCATATCGTGTACTCCACTGTGCCACATCGACAACCCTGTCCCAACTAGCCAATACAGGGATAGTGACAAAACGTTTGTCGCCCTCCCAGTAGTACCACTGTACGACCAGTTCTCCGCTGATCTTGTTCCAGTTCATGTTCTTCACGTGGCCCAAGAAGGCTACTCGTTTGTATCCAATGGACTCCTGCCTCTGCATGTCCCAAAGGGACAGAGAGCCATCGCCGTTTCCACCGCCGATGCACAGTGTTCCCGAGTCCCAAGGGTGCCAAGCGAATGCCTTATTTCGAGGTTAAAAAATCATTGAAAAAGTACATACGTCAGTTATATTACGTTTTATGGCCTATTTGGGTAATGGAATAATGTGGATAAAATGTACCTGGGTTGCATCGTAGTAACCAATCTCGAGGTAGAGGATCATTGCTGGGTAGAGGTAGATGCGAACTAGTTTGTCTATTCCGGAGGTTGCCAGGTAACGATTGTTGGGGGATACTGCTAAGTTTAATACTGCTCCTTCGTGAGATGGGAGGTGTTCAATTAGACGATCTCCTTTTGATTCACGCGTGCGGAAGAGAGATACTTTTCCAGATGTGCACCCTCTGCGAATTAAAATTATAGATGGGATTCGTTTAGAGAGGACGTCGGCGAGATTTGAAAGTCTTCGGTAGAGCTAGGGATCCATTGAACTTTTGATATATGATGAGATATGTTGATAAATTAGAAAGATGATTACCTCAATCAATTTGCCTCATACATTCTACAAAAAATGAAGTTTTCCGTGTTTTTACCTTTAAAATTTTCTTTGCACTGCAATTTTCATCCCATTGACATAATTTGTATCCATGTTCATTAGACTCCAAAGACCAAAGTTGAGCGTTCGTTTTATGATTCATCAAATAGATTATGAGAAAATTGAAACAAGTCGATATCTCGATTTGTGCACAAGTTAGAGTGATTACAGTGTTTTAAAAAAAACGGAAAACGGAAAACGGAAATATCTTGAAAACTTTGTATGAACGGGTGTATATGTTTTGATTGATTCAGATAAAAGACATCAAAGCGAATATTTTGAAAACAAAATCGAAATCTGTTCACTAGCAACTTTGACAACGAATAGGTTTTTCTCAAAAACTATTAAATCGATCGAGCTGAAATTTTGCACAGAGTTAGTCCTCATTAAGACTTATAATCTAAAAAAATTTTAGATTTTTGGAATTACTTTAGCCACTTAATTACTCAATTTCCTAAAAATTGACCACAGGGAAGCCAAACTTCGTACTTTTTACTTTTTACGTTTTAGACTATTCTACATCGTTTTCAATCAAAATTCGAGAATGTGAAAATTAGACGACTACAATGCTTTCATTCGGAAAAAAGAAAAAATTTGTTTTTCCAAAATGTTTTGCAAGAAAAAATAGGGAAAGTTTGTTTTTCCTCCATCAGTTCCGCATTGCGCGTAAAATGTATTTGTTTTGAGTAGTTAAAAATTGCATTTTCATGTACCATGAAAACGAAGAAACGAAAAAAACGAGAAAAAAAACAATATTTTCAATTTGTGTTCAATTTTTTCATGATCTATTTTAACAGCGAAAAATGAATGCTTAACTTTGTTGTTTTGAGTCTAACGAACATTTAAAAAAAATATCAATTGGATAAAAACTGATGCAATGTCGACTTAAAAGTTAAAAACATTGAATACATCGTTTTTCGTTTATGTATGTGGCAAAATGGATTGGCGTCGTCATTTTTCCCTTTCGGAAAAAAGACTTCNGAAATCCCACCGATCCCCCCCCCCCTCCCTTAACGACTTCCCTTCCAATAATAATTATATTATTTTGATTCTTTGTCCATTCTATTCTCAAGCAATACAAAGAAATCAAACCAATGCCCCTCGTACTCCAAAATTAGCCAAAAATTTTCTTTGTTTTATTACATATCAATAAATGGGGTGATAACTTTTATATTTTTCCGAAATCCGGCCCTCGCGAAAAAACATTATCGGAAAATTACCAATAACTTCGAAATTGCGAAGACTCTACTCTTTGATTGCATGTTTTATGATGAGTAAGAAGAATCGATGAAAATTCCAAACTTACACGACAATCTCTTCATCATCCACACTCCAATTCATACAAGTAATATCACAATCATCGCAGAGACATTCCTCACTCCATAATATTTTCGATGATGGCACATCGAAAACACATATTGTGTAACTTCTCGAGTACATGGCAACTTGATCTCCAGCATTATTCCACTTGAGGCATTTTACCTGTCGTGACCCTGGGAACGAGGACTCCACCGAAATACTTATGTGCGATGGATTAGACTCGTCCATCGTAAAAAAATGTAAATTGATGTCCACTGGGGCCACAATGCAGTTCTTCGAACCCCAATCAATGGCTCCACGGGCTGCAATTCCGAGACAAAAAAACATTCCACTTTCCACATTTTTTTTGGAAATGATTTTGGTTTCACCAATTGACGAAAATTGTGGTGCTATGGAAGGATTTATAGAATTATACTTCTATGAATTTATATCTTCATTTTTCTTAGGCTTTCCATGTGCGGAATAGCTGTAATCCTATTTCAGGATAAAATCTCCCTTGACCAAAAAAAAAATATCTTGATTCAATCCGCCGCCTTTCCTTGATCTGAAGATAATTTTTTTTTTATCGTTATTTTACATCGCTTCGACCCGGTTAGGGTATACTGCGATGATGATTAAGACTTTAAATGGTTCGATCGCACCATTCTACCCGGCCGGGATTTGAACTCGGAATCTTTCGCATGTGAGGCAACGAACTTACCTACTGCGCCAAGCCACCGGGCAATCTGAAGATAATTGAATGAAGTCGAGAATCTCTTGATTTTGAGTAATTTCCACGACTTGGATCAAATATCTCAAAAAAAAAGTCAAGTCGAATTGCCGATTTGATTCACGTAGAGCTCAACTTGAATCAAATGCCTTTTCTACTTGAATTAAGTCGATTCCGGATTGACATCAGTTTTCATAAAACAAACTGGTAGCAATTTGTCAAAATTTCATGGGAAATATGGTAGTAATTCTCGTGAGAGTGATATTGAATCCGATTTAGGGAAAAAATGGTTCTGAAATTTCAAGGTTTAGGTAGAATTCAACGAAATTTTCAAATTTTCGTTGGATTTTCCGGGTTTTTTCCAACCTCTCAGGAAATAATTGAAGTGAAAAATCGAGTATTTTATGGATTTTTAGATCATTCGAACAGAAAATCAGTGGAATATTTGATTTTTCAATGCCAAGATTTTCTGAAATTCCAGTGATTATTTTTGGTAATCGGATCTGGCCTTCCCTAGGCTAATCAGAGTTCAGTATTCAATAACATGAAGTATTATTTTATTTTTCTATTTCATTGGTTTTATCGAAGTAGTTCTCGATTTGAAACCCCTCCTCTAGCCTGCCTCCCCTCCTTTACTTTTCCTCTCATTGTTATCTGCAGTATCATGGCCGTCTTACTCTTAGATGTGCCCCATTCGAGCTAGGACTGCACGGGAAACCATGTAAAACCCCAGTCGCACAGCCGGCCGATTGTGCAGAGCCCTAATGTATCCATCTGTCACACTGACTAGATGGAGACACTAGGCCGCTACACCGTGCCTACCGCCCGTAATTTTTGTGCGAGCGAGGTGTTCCTAAGCGGTCACCCATCCAAGTACTAACCCAGCTCAACGCTGCTTAGCTTGGATGTCCGCCGGAGCAACACCTCACCCACCTAACCATTACAGTCGGTAATAACATGAAGTAGTTCCCAATTAAAATTACAGCGGATATTTCCCCCTAGCTTTCGATAATTTTCCTCTAGCTCTGCAATTGTTTCTCTAACCAAATAATTGTCAAATATTAAATTCCTAGTAGTAACTATAATTCACATCACCTATTGAAGAAAAATCTTTATCCTTTACGCACCTGGTCTCGATCGATTTGGAATCCTAATTTTGTGATGATGTTCCCCAAGTAGAGGCCTGCTCCTTGGTTTCACCTTCCAAATATTCTCCTCATACTCATCAACAACACTATTCCTCCTTCTGTTATCCTTCCTGCCTGTAACCATCTCCTTAAGCCGACTGTTTCCACTAATATTCAAAACCCTGTGATTACCAATACCCGATAAAACATCAAGCCCCTGCATCGCTCGTATCATGAGGCGTTTCCTCCACGTGGACTCCAAGAAATTTATCTGAAATAACATCTACAATCTCAAAGCATTCATTTGATTCGTTTCATCTATTCACATTTGCTCGTGTGAACGAAAAAAAAAAACATATTGGGTGAAAACAAATATATTCAAAAGGAAAATACTACATGTTAGGGATTCAAAAATGAAACGCCATCGAGTGTAAGATCAAGGCGTGGGCAGAGGAATTGCATGGATAGAGTGAAAGACCTGGAGGGCAAGTAAATTGTCCAGACACAGGCCAACGTTGAAGCTTAACGATCGAAGAAGCGCACATCGTCCTCTATATGTGCAAGTTTAACTTCAACCACGACCATGGTCAACGTGTTACGCGATTACGCTCGTAAATCGTTCCCACTACAGAAGGAGGAGACGTCCTCCAATGTAACTTGGGTATATATCCAACGTGTCAGTGTTACTATATTCGTACCGGCGATTATGAGAAAGCGGAGAACGAGTCTTCGTGATGATATAGAAATAAATAAAGTGGGATAACAAAAAATTATTGAGGAAAAGATTTACTCATTTTGTTTGCTTGGAAGGTCGGGACGAGGCTTTGTGGATTATGGACGATTTGGTATGGTAATGAGGGAGAATGTGTCAGGGAGGTTGTGCTTGTTGTTTCAGCAAGGTTGACTATTTTTTTCATTTTTATTATTGTGGGTGCAATTTAGCGGGGAATTTTCTGCCATGGAATCATAAAATGAACGTTTCTATGGAGAATTTTGTTTTGCTCGTTGAACGAACTCATTTTCAAAATTATTCGAGGATTATTTCAAAATAACAATTGAAGCATGCATCGTTTTAGTGTCCATTAGAGAATTGGAACAGCAAAATTTTTAGATGTCTTCTTTGTAGCTTTAATTTAACGTTACAAATGAAGTTTTTATGCGTAGCCGGGTAGCTTACTTTGATTTGAATATACACTGTTGACAAAATTTAGTCGAATTTTCAGGAAAAAAATTTGAATTTGATTTAAGCGAAAAAAAGCAATGAAATTTCAAGTTTTTATTTATTAGTTATTTATTTATTTTTCTATTTCATTGGTTTTATCGAAGTAGTTTTCGATTTGAAACCCCTCCTCTAGCCTGCCACCCCTCCTTTACTTTTCCTCTCATTATCTGCGGTATCATGGCCGTCTTACTCTTAGCTGTGCCCCATTCGAGCTAGGACTGCACGGGAAACCATGTAAAACCCCAGTCGCACAGCCGGCCGATTGTGCAGTGCCCTAATGTATCCATCTGTCACACTGACTAGATGGAGACACTAGGCCACTACACCGTGCCTACCGCCCGTAATTTTTTGTGCGAGCGAGGTGTTCCTAAGCGGTCACCCATCCAAGTACTAACCCAGCTCAACGCTGCTTAGCTTGGATGTTTTTATTTATTGTGGAAGTTTTTATTTATTTTATTTTTATTTATTTATTTTCCTTGCCATATATACCCTATTCGAGATTTTACATATTTGCGGTTTGACGGGCCGACTACTTCTCCAACTGTGTCCATTGTACCCCAGGAGCTGTACACCACGTACAGACTCTCCTGGTGACCGAGGGAAACCATGGAAAACCTTGGTCAACACAGGCGTCCATCGACCGAGCTTCATCGGAGAATGTTCTCCTAACACTTCTCCGATGATTCTCGGTGTCTAGACTTCCGTTCGACGGGTTCCGAAAGATTAAAAATCCCAATTGCCCCAACCCGGACTCGAATCCGCGCCTCACGAGTCCCGCCGTCCGGCCAAGCGATTTAATCACTTCGGCCACCGTCGCCGGTTCTGGAAATTCAAGTAAATTTTAATTTTTTTAAGCGGCAGGGAGAAGAAAATTGCACACTTTACATGAATTTTCAAGAGTAAATGAATATTCACGGCCAAATTTCCTTTGATTTTCAGTGAATTCAGTTAACATTCTTGGCATTCTAAACATTTTCTAAGGAATTCACGGAAAATCCAGAGGAATCCGGAAGACAAGGAAAAATTGCTCAGAATTTTTCATTAATTTCTCCGGAACGATTAAACTGAAATTTACAATTCCCATGAATTTGTGAAGGAAATTATGAATTCTCAATGACAGAATTTCTTGAAGTTTCAGTGGAAATGTTACTTGTTAGAAATTTCTAAGCCTCTTAACACAAATTTCAGTGGAAAATTTTTAACAGTGTACATTCAGATAAAATTATCATTGTGTGACTTATATCATTTTTTTCTCAATTTACAATATATAATTAGTAAGTAGAGTCATGCGATTCTACACCAGGAACGCCCAGAACGTAAATCTTGGGTTACGCTAGGAGCTGATGATGGGGTTTGATTAATACTTCGCTACTTGGACAACAATTTATTTCAAAGATATACTTTTTCTTAATATAATTCAGTTGCACCAAACGAGGTTTCTTAACTGTTACCGCGATTCGTTAATAGTTAACGAATCGTGGTAATAGTTAAAAAGTCGAATTATTCCAATTTTATACTTTCCTGAGGATGACTGTTTCAAATAAAGTTACCTGGTTGATTACATCAACATAATTATTTGAAGAAGCATCCTTCTCAATTTGTGTCTCTTTCTTCATCAAACAGTACTTCGAAAAATCAAAGTTTTGGGATCGTCTGTTCGGGATGAATCTGTCTGCTTGACCCTGGCAGTTGCCCTTAGGGTAAAAGTTGTTCGAATGAATGGGGTAGGTCTTCTGAGGAAGCGAGGACAGCGAGTAGAGTGGTACTGGTTCCTGAAACACGTGAGAAATACTTATGTTTTATTATTTCTCGGAAAATCTGTGAACACGTGCGGTCATGTTCTCAAGCTAAATCTCTTTGTTAATTCATCAGTAACGGATAAACCGGTATGAACTCCTGAAAAATCACGCGAGTCCATTATCAACCCTAGAAATATATCTATCGCGGCTATTCAATCTTTAGACTTATTGTGACAATGGTGTTCACAATGGTTCTCAGATCAATGAATGATCCAGACATAAAATGGGAAATTTTATTTTTCGCATAATTTTTGCAGACAAGGCTTTTGTGAAGGGGTGGTCGAGGGAACCGTCTGAGCGTGGGGCATTATGCACAACTATGGAGGATCAAGGGTTGGAGGATATTTGCCACCGTACATTCAGTCCCCTATTTCTATCTTTTTTTTAGAGAGTTTAGACCCCCAGCGAACATCTGGCCCCCGTGGCCTCTTAGGGAGTTTTGATGGATGGGACGAGACAAGCAGCTAGTTTCTTTCGATAAAAATTGTTTACCCGGAGTGTTATTAATTGTATTGGCTCAGTGACAGTTGAAGATGGAATTTTTTTCGGAGACTTTCTAATTGGATTAATCATTTTACCACTAATTTTTCTATTTTTCATTCGGTGAAATTCATCATCATAATTTTTCAGATAGAGAAGTTATTCAGCATCTCAAGAGATTAAATTGTTTGATGAAATCAAAAAATTGAATTTTGTGCTGAAAAATCATGGTAAAATTTGTTCTCCAACAGTGAGGTAATTTCCAATCCCGTTCCGTTTAAGAAAATAATTTTTGATCAATTAGTTTTCGTAACATTGAAGTAAAACAAATTAAACATGTATTGTTTTTTTGCTAAAAAAGAGCAGTTTGCTTCCGAATGGATTAATCGAATTAAAACACAAAGTATGTATTCGGTTTTCTGTCATGAATTTCAAAGTAATAGGGATCCTTCCCGAAGTTTAACCTTAAAAAAATTCCATAATTTTTTTTTAAAGACAATTTGAGATAATTTTTTTTAATGAACTGAATTTATTTTGAATTGGACAGATTGAGTGAACACATAATGAATGTAAAATTTGATATCACAAGACTTCATGCTCCAGATATGTCAATGTTGATGTCTCCTCAGTCGTAAGTAAATTATTCAAATTTTATTTGTCTCCTGAATAGTTTTCTTTAAACTGGATTTAAGACCCGTATAACTTTTTGGTTAATGAATTAGCAATTTGCTTCTGAATGATAAATTGGGGAAGAAGACATACCAGCCATGAAATCTTACTATGATTCCCAAATGTCCCAAATGTCTAACGCTCCTTATGCCCTGGTTAAACATCTAACAGAGGCTGACTGAATTAAAATTGAATTGGTTTCAACTTCCACTGAACATTGATTAAACCTTGCCAAAACCTTGGTTAAACCTCGATTAAACTCCGACTAAATTCCGACTCAACCCCGACTAAACCCTGACTAAATCCTGACTAAACTCCAACTAATCCCGACTAAACCATGATAAAACCTCGATTAAATGCTTTTTAAGGCTATAATTTCAAAGCAACTCATGAGATCTTCGAACTCGACCGAGATATCATTCAAACGAATATTTTAAGCCATAATTGAAAAGATTTCGACGATTATCTTTTGAATGATCATCGAAAAAATAAATTTGAAAAAAATCATACATACATACATATATACATACATACGGACATGATCTAAAAACAGCATATTCTAACTCCTGCGACCAAAATTAGTCATTGTCACACAAAAAAATGGAAATTTCCAATTTACAACGACGAATACAATGCTTCTATTCGGAAGTAAAAATGAATCCATCATGATCTTCAGTAATAATTGACTCAAAGATATCGTCATATTAAGGTTTCAGCTCGCAGTTTAGGAAAATCGAAGGTGAAAAACATTCAATGAAAGAAAAAAAAGTTTTTGGGTCCAAATGCTGACGTCCCAAGCCCACCTAAGGCAACTGGATTTCGTCCCAAAGGGGTGCATGTTTGTTTTGCATATCTACCGGCTTTCGACCTCTCCACTCTCATTTCCATTTTTTAAACCTCTCATCTCCCTTCTCATCCATTCACCCTCATTCTCCCCCAGGTCTTTCTCTCTCTACCCATAACAAATGAATTTTTGTCTTTATTGGAAACCCACCCAAGTAAAGGATATAAACCTGGAATATACTTTTCTCGTCTAGAGCACTCGCACTCGGTGGAAGGACAGACGGGCCTTTATGCAAATGAGTACTTGCGGGCTACCTTCTTTGTCTCCAGTCCAAGACATTTATTCGCACTCCATAAATAACAACTGAGTGTACATTTAAGCGCGTTTGAAAGCGACGACAGGAATATTTCTAGATGCACTCGCGTGCCTCGCCGCTGCGGGACATCTTGAAGACAACTTCATCGGATAAAGGGGATTACCAAAAGTTGGAAATTCCAAGAATCGATTGAAGGGGATATCCGGTTAATGCTTTTGTCAAATTTTATACTCCAACTTCTCCAATTTAATTTTGTAATTATAAATAACAATTGAGAGGATCCTGCCTACCGAAAAGGGAGGAGCTTGGCGGATAAAGTTCGCGACATTAAAACTCGCACAAAAAATACCAAACAATTACCTGGGTAAAGAGTGAAATGGAGTTCAGAGATATGCATGCGAAGTAGGGATATGCAGAAATTTTGTGACATGCCAGTGACACGTCATATGACCATGACGTGTTAGATGCCAGTTACACTATTGAAAATTTATGCTTGAAATTTTCGGTGATAAAAATTTTTGTCTGAAATTTCCGCTACATTTTTGGAAAGTTGCATTGAATTTAATTATCTGAAATTTCAAGGAATTTCGTCATTGAAAATTTAGAACTTCGTGAGAAACTCGAAGAGAACTATCAATTTTAGTTCCAAAAAAATTAAAAAAATTTTTGTTCTTGCGTATACCCTCTCGGGTTTTTACGATTTGTGAACCCAACCCCTTGTATCGCACTCGCCGAGGGCCAAGCAAAAACCTCACTTGAGGGAAAAATCTTGACCAGGTACAGTACGGCGTCCCTTGCGAGACTCTCGCTCGGACAATGAATCTGTGAAAATTAGAGCGTTAAAAAATCATTTTGGTCCCCCCACCGCGAATCGAACCCGAGTCGTCACAGCCATCGCCGTCGGTCAATTTCAGTTCCATTTTTCCCTGAAAAATTAGTAGAAAACCAGAAAATTCCGGTATTTTTTCCTCTAAATCGCATTCAGTGTCGTTAAGGAGAGATGTATTCTCACGTATTTCTCTGGGTGACGGTTGAAGACTGAAGCCAATAAATCGAGCCTATATGAACCCTGCAGGAAGATCTAATTTGCATGGAGCTGAAGGACTTTTAAATCTACTCTTGAGGGACCAGATGGGGTGAGATCGCGTCTCCTGCAACAAATGGAATCTTAGACGAAAAATCATAACCGAGAGACTTTCCCATAGGGAATTGTAGAAATACCCCCAGCAAAGGGAACAAACAGGTTTTTTTACTGCTCATGGGCCCAACCTGATTCCTTCGCAAGGTGCCGAAGGGATTACCACCTTTCCCTCCCCTGTTTCTTACAATGTGTATTTTAATTTCACATTTTTACAGACTTAAATACCTAGATAATATAGTAAAGAACATGAGTGTAGTGGTTTTGAGGGAATCTACAGATTTTATGAATAGATTCCTTTTAAATTTTTCAAATCGACTTTTGTGACATTTTCAGTGAATTTTCAGACTTTCTGGTCATTGAAACATCAGGTATTTCATTCATTTTCTGATTGAATTACTACAAATCAATGGAAACTGTTAGTTTTAGTTCAATTGTTCTGTGGAAATTAGTGATGCCGCGAGTGGAGACGCGACAAGAAATGGTATTTTTACACAATTTTTATGGCATTTTCTCGTCTCGTCTCGTCAAGAATAGATGGTTCTTTCATTTGTCTCGTCTTGTTTCATCTCGTCGTACATGAAAAAAATAATAGCCAAAAAAAATGAAAGAAAAAATAAGGGTCGTAAATATAAGGGTCTCGTCTCGTTTCTCTCGTCTCGCGGGGCATCGCTTGTAAAAATTCCGAAAATTCAGGTAATTATTTTCCTCATCACTCTTCCGATCAACAGAATTCAACGTACGATATTCGATGTTCCGTAGCTCTATCAAAAGAGAAAAAATTGAAAATGGAGGTCATTGTTGCTATGAATATGCAAATAAGTTAGAGAGAGTTCTTGCCTTCCTATTTCTCAAAAACTTTGAATTCTATCGAATTAGTGATATTTGGAATATCATGAATTCAATTCAAATGAAATATTCGAATTCAATGTCCCTCTTCTACAAATTACTAGGCAGCTCCCAAATCGTAAAATAAGCCCTAGTTATCTCCTGCTCACCCTAGGATTTTAATGTCACGTGACTATATTTCTTCTCCGAACTTGGTTGACATAAATAAATTTAACCTCTTTGAGCCACTATATTTATTTGTATAGGTGCTCATGGGGGTGTACGGGACTCCCCATCTGGCGCTTCTCTTCAAAAAGCAAATTAAAATTTCGTATATAAGTATTCATATAAATTCAAGTTATGGTGAAGCACTTGGCGTTATCCAGGATCCGCGACGGGGACACAGCTGGTATGAACCCTACAAGAGAGCAAAATACTCCACTAGGAGTAAGCTCAATTTCCAGGAATTAGAGTCTCCTTCTAACAACGAAGATCCTCATTATCTTCTGTACCTCCTGATATTAGAAATAACACAACTATTCAGGGGGTAATCAGGGTCTATTTATTTATATAAATATTTGGGGAATTATGATACCGCCACAACAATATAGTCACGTGACGAACATCCTATTCCACAAAATTTCCATTTTTTCCTAACAATGTATCTAAAACTTGAAATCTTATAACCATGTTTTCCCTAAGTCAAATTCAACGTCATTATCAGGGTCCGGGACTTCGTGCTCCTAAATCCGCGGGGG